AAAATTATTTAACAACAAGAAGTTACAGTTTCACTTCTTTTGAGAAGGAAGAAAAGTGGTGCCATATAGCATGCATGATAAAATTCATGAAAATAACGTTAATAATTTAATGTAATCAATGAAAAAGCAAGTTTTCTGTTTGCTCTTAGGGCGATTTCCGTGTAACTTGTCACCTTGACGATTTATTCACGTGCCTGCACACACATCATTTTGTTTGTTTATTTTCTAATGTTATGTTAAATGCATGTTTTCATATTGATTTATCTCAAAGAATTTACACTAAAAGGTCAATCTTGTTTTTGTATGCATACTTTAATAACTGTAGCATTTGCAGCAATAAGAAATGTTACTATTTAGATAAGGCCACATAAATGAGACTTTTTTAATACTGTCTAATTTCTCTGTTTAAATTGTTATATTTCAAATACACATGTGAGTAGTTCTTACTTTATAAAGTAATATACAAATAGGAAAATGACTAGATTAAAACTGAATAAATATTTTGTTTCCAGGACATATATGTAGCTAGGTGCATGTTGGAAGAGTGAGTCAGATAAAAAGTAAATAAGTAAACCAAAGTTTACCAGACAACCAAAACATTTCACTGACAAGACCACATCAATTTTCAATTAGTAATTACAAAAATAAAATTTGGTCCAGTTTTCTTATCATTATACATTAAGCTGAGATTTAAACAATTAAATACAAATGAAAATATCACTTTTCATATGAACATATCATAGAAATAATAAGCTTTGATTTACGTTAAGTAAATTATTTGGCAATTTCCAAAAAGATCAGATTTATTTATTATAAAATAAATCATGCTTTAACAGTAATCATAGGAAGTGCTAAGTCCTAATTCACTTAATTTAAGTCATGGTGAAAATCATGGTGTTGAATTATTGGTTTATGTTTAAAAATTTCTTTTAAGTCTGAATTTAATTTAATTTAACTTTGCCACTACTTATCAAGATATAGTTTAAGAAAAAAGAGATGTCAACGATTTATAGAAACCACTTAAACACCAGCAAAACCAACACTGACAGTTTTTCTACAATAAAATTTATCAAAGAAAAGCAAAAATATCCAGGTGTGTCAATTGGACATGTAATATTTACACGTCTAACAGGAGTAAATAATAGTCGCTTTTGTGACTTGATCCCTCTGGGTCAACACAAATTACTTTGACAGCTGGCTATTAACTTACTCCAACTAAACAGTGTAATTCTAACTTTGACCAAATCTTAATTGTAATTTTAGTAAATTTAGTGTTGATCACAACACGGGAGCTTCTGATAGTGGTCTGTACCCAATAATTATACTGATCGAGCCCGTAGAGCTGGTTTCCTGTACAACACCACAACAGATGCCACGTTTTATGTTTCCTAGCTTATACCTGTCCTCATACTGTCAACAGGTGCAAAATTTGTTCAATAAAATAAGAAAGATGTCAAAATATGAAGTTATAACTTTGTTTGCTTTTCACATGAGAAATTTGATTGTACAGTTAAAAGTATTAAAAAAGAGGCGTTTTGTAGTCTTCTCTACATATTGTTCACTAGGCTTTCAACAGATGTTTATGTATCTGTTTTTGGTTTGGTTTCAAGGCACACTGACACTGTTATAAAGGTCCTCTGGCAACTTTCCAGCTTTCCTGTTGGAGGAAGACCTCCAATGCCCCTTCTTGCATTATCTCTGGTATCATAGCACACTTCCAAGTAGAACCACCAACCTACAGCATGATGTTAAAGGTAAGTTACCAGTTTGTGTTAACCTACCAGTCGGTACTTGTAAGATATAATTTAACACCTTTACATTTCTCCTATTTACTTATCATATTTTGTGGAATATCAAACAAAATATATTGTTGTTCCAAACGTTTTTACAATTGCTGCATGATGGTTACTGTGATTAGCATTATTTACACTAACTTCTAGATTTTCATCTGAATGACAATTTTCTAAAGCATTATTTCACAAAGTGGCAACAATTTAAGTAAAGGTTACCACAATATAAAAGAGATTTTCATGATAAAGGGTCAACATTGACCCCTTTGAAGTTTAAGGTCACACAATCCTGATAAGTACTCAAGTAATCCCTTAGCCTTTCTTTCTTATTGCCCCTTCTCTAATTAAATTTGCACAAACTGTGTTAAAATGGCCTTAAAAGGACACAGCATTGTCTGAACAGGATCCTTTGATCTGTGAAATTTGTCTCAACCTTTCAAAAGAAGACAGTATCAATCTGGTAGATAAGATCAAACCAATAATGTCAACTTTATGAAATTTTCTTATCTTCTGACAACACATTTCAAAAAGAAAAAAGTTTCTTTGACAAAACTTAAAACAATTTAATATCTATAAAAATGTTTAGGTAAAGAAAGGTTGAAATTCTATGTTAATGACAATATTATGCAAGTACCATTGGTCTTTCAATATTTTTAAAGTTGTGACAATGTTAAAGACTGTATCATCAGTATTACATACATTTTTATGCTTCAACATGTCATTTCTTGCTGACAGAATTTTGTAGTATGAAAACCAATACAACTTTACATTACCACTTTCAAAAAATTCAAAAGCTACCTGTTCATTATTATTCATATCAGTTTTATAAGATCGAAGCTTTAATCCTCGCCAAAAAGTGGGGAAAGGACATATTTTAAAAGGGACACAGCACAACAGTTACTGTTCAAATATCATAAATCTGAATATTGGGGTAGTAAATTTAGGTCAGTTTTCCGCTAACAATTTTGTTTTTACACAGTAAAAGTCCTTGAAAAGAAATGACACTATTTAAACAGCAGTTTTGGACGAAGACATGTCTCCAGAAAGAGACGCTCTTTTTAAACTTTAACACTTCTTTGACTCGAAACATTTTTCATTTCTTTATAAAGTTGCGCGTATTATAAGAACGACCGTAATTATATGGCAAAGAAAGAAGTACTAATTATTCTGCTTAAAATACATGCACATAAAAAATCCTGCTATCATCAGTTGTTTATTTTGATGATACATTATACTGCTTTTAGGGGAATTGCGTATTTAGAGAAAAAAATAAGTAGGTCATGAGAACCGAATTTGAAAAGAGTTAGGATCACGCTATGTTTTACGCAAGGCAGACTTCTATCTGTATTTTTTTCTGACTGAATTACCCCATGTAGATTTGGTAAAAAGTATCTTAATGGAAAATAATCATCATGATGATGAAGACCGCAAACAGTCTTTATATGGACAGTCTCTCTTTCTTAATGATATACAGTACATAGATAGACTGATGGAGGCATGACAGCTCCAATACCACAGTCAAGATGGTGTGTTGTAGAAAGCTTGAAGCTATGTGTTTGAATTATAAAATTAGTACAAGACTCATCAATTGGCAAGTGCCACACACACTTGGCGAGTGCAGCCTGCATTAGCTATAGTTATTTAGTATCCAGTATATCATAGTTAAGATTACATTATACGTACAATGTCCTCATTTGAATAAGGTCAACTTCCTTTAGGATTGTCATACCACAAACCAACAACAACAAAATTGAGGGTCAATGTTGTAACTCATTCAATTTGAAATATCACTTAAACAAATTTACTTATTAAAATGAAATTGTACAGACGTCATGAAGGTGTAAATATCATAGTTTTGAGTCTTTAACCTGTGAATTCTTAACCAAACAGTTACTTTGCCCAAAAAGAAAAATAATATCAAGAACTTTTGCCTCATATTCAATGTTGAAAATCTTTATTTAACAGTTGACACTCCTCAATTTAAAATATGAATATAATAATAAATTTTTTTTTTTTAAACTGTCTTCAAAGACCAAGGGTGGTTCATAAAGACAGTTTTCAACTATCTTGTCTTTATTCAAGGTAAGACTGGCATACTTATAAAAATCGACTAAAGTTCACCTTATTTATATCAAAATACAAGCTGCAGTGGGAAAACGTATAATAAACAACCATCACACAATGTACTTTCAAAAGATTATTCAAATTTAAGACTTGATATGATAAAACCCTGTATTCATGAAAACAAGTTATAGCTTTTTTCTTGCATGTCATTTCTGTATGTTCTCGGACAAATGAGCCACCTGAAAGTTGTTTGTTCAATTTCTGTGGGAAAAAATGTTTAAAACTACAATTGAAATCTCAGTATATAAAACTGAAATTGTAAATTTCATATTAGTGAGAAAAAAAATCTTGTTTAACGTTCGGAAAGCTTTATTGAATGGTATTTAACAGTGCATTAAATATATTCTACATGTAAAGTGAACATTTGATACCTTAAAACCAGAAACTGTGAAATCTGCCCATCCTATATATAATATTTACTCTAAATGTAAACTGAAAACAAACACAATAGCAGTGAAAAACAAAAAAAAGGCTTTGACTGAAAAGATGTCCGTTTGATTGATTGATCACTGGAAGTAAAAGCTGAAGTTTTTTAAAAGACATACATGTGATAAAACAGACTGTAGGTTTCACTGCTAAAATTTTATTGTCTAGTTGTTTTGATCCCACATTATGTTTTGATATGATCTTAATTGATATATTCATCATCAACTTTTTAACACTAGTTTATAGACTTCTCATTAAAGAGTAATTATTTTCTCCAAATTGAAGAGTATTACTAACTCCTTACTGAAGAGTATTACTAACTCCTTACTGAAGAGCATTACTAAATCTCTGCTGACTGGATACTGTGTAACTATGGAGAAATTAGGGAAGAATCAACCACTGCTAAAATGATCAAACAAAAACAAATAGCTAGCAAGCTATGTAAGCCTAAATCTTATCTGCACTGGGATGGATTATAGATGAACTAATTTACCCTCTCCATTAATTATTCATCGGCAATAACATACATGATGTAAGAGAACAGGTAATAAATATTAACAGCAGCTCAAAAAAGAATCTTCACTATGTCAGCAATTTTATGTTATGAACATCGCATTTTCTAGACACTTTCTTTATTTAATTTGTGAATGAAATCAATACCTTCAAGGGTGACAATGCTGTTTGGGGTCCAACTGTGTTGGAAACTGTATACTTGGAAGACATCTAACACCAGGAACAGCAGCATGTACACAATGCAGGTGCTACGCGTGCATAACCCGGGCACCATCTTTGTTACTAATTAGGTCAAACTGAAAACAAATGAAGAAACAACTGTTATGAATTTTACAAAAGACAAAGTTGTATAGCAAATACAAACTATCATACAAAACAAAATATAAATGAATATTTATATTATATGAATGCTTGAAATTTGCATTTATTTTGGTTTTAATTGCAAATTTGTCTTATTTCTTATTACTGTTTCATTGTTGCTTAAATACTTTTTTGCTGTTAGTGGCATTGGCTCTTTTAAAATGCCAAGCTACAATGGTAAATGTAAGAAGAACCTTGTTATGATAGAAGTGTATCAGATAAATAACCAATTGGCTGTTAATGACCATGTTGGTTGTTAATGACCAAGGAATGGTGTTAATTAAGCTATCATGCATGTTATTATAACAACTTTGTATCTGTAGGTGTGGATATAAACATAATAAATATATGTGTGCATGTTTCCATGTGAACTTAACATATAGGGGCTTGGTACCAATGTATGAAAATTAAAGTAAGACCTTGACAGTGCTGGTGTGACTTTAAACATAAAGGGGCTAATAGTACCAATAGTGTAAGTCAGCATTACCAGAGTCACTTACATTGTATGATAACTCATTGTTTTTTGGATAGTTTCAAAGATTGTCTAATTTCATGTAAAGCGGTATTAGATGCTTAAGGGCATGATAATAACATTAGGGTACCAGTTGCTGGAGGAAAGAGGACATGATTAAACACCTTGCTAGCCTCCTTGCCCATGTAACTAAAATTTTTATGACCACTTAACATTCATTATCAATTTGATGAGCTCTCTTAATAAATAAGATATTGCTGATTAACAGATCTTTATATAAGAGAGTCACATGATTTAATGATTAAATTTATATACAAAGTTTACTATTTTTATGGCGCTTAAAATCTCTTAATAATTTACCACCAGTTGTTTTTAATAAACTTTTGACCTTTTATTTTTTAAGTACATGATCCCCCATTAGTTTTAATAGCTGAAACAATAAAACTGAGACCTCCACATCCATATTAAAATGTCAAAATACATGGAACACACCTACGAGTAGGAGTTGTCCCCTTAAATACATGAAAAAATAATTATGTTAAATAAAGCATTAACAAACTTTTTTTAAAAGGTCAAAGTTACACAGACATTCAGCTTGTTACAAAAGATACAGTAATTAAAGTATTAAATTAAACAAAACAAATATATAATTTATTCATTTTAAAACTTATAAAACTACTAATTATATTGCTACCAAAGAAATAATGAAACAATTTCTCTAACACTGCATCTTGTCAACAGACTCAAAGAAATGTTCAACAATGTATAAATCAGTTCATGACAATATTCAATTTTATTCCTTTATACAGCTTGAAGATTCAAACAGATTTATCATTACCAGTAATCTAATTACGTAGGCCCAGACCTAGATCATAAATGACCTTGAAAGCAACAATAATCCAAACAATAGCCCAGTTAAGTCACTGCGGCTTAATGTTGGCTTAATTTGTCAATAATATACTGGAGCTCCAAAAAACGCATATGGCTTTATGTGGCTAATCTTTTAATCTTACAGATTAACCATATAAACAACTTCTTTGTACAATTCACACAACAAAGAAAGATTTAATTGTCCATAAAATCAGACAAAAACATAATAAGTAACTGTTTTCAAAACAAACTCAGTGACCGATGATCCTGCACTGCACAATTTCCGTCTGCATTTAATTTTAAGAAATGATATACGACAGACTACCCAGTTGTAATAAAGTTATATATAAATCACGAGTGTTTGGAAACATTTCAAGGTTTTATTTTATTCTCCTATGATTTAATGCGAAATTGAAACAATGACTTTCAATGTTTATCTGTCTGGTTGCATTACTTATCAAAGCAATAAAATCTCATGAAAACATGCAACCAGTCAGACATGAGAAGGAAACAAATACATAAATCTAATGTTTACTCATTCTAATAACAATTTATATTGTTGAATTTCGATTATTCTACAATCATGATGTAAAGGTTGAACAAATATGCTGACTTCAAATTTTTTGCTTCAAAAATTCATATCCTATTATGAATTCTGGTCATAAGTGATAAAGTTATAAGGGATATACAAAATGTATTATTTCTACTCGTATCTAGTTGGGTTCGTCTTTTCATCAGTACATAAAAACTTTCACTAAACTTCACTGGAGCTCAAAATGCAGTTTTCATTCCTCCTTTATCAATTAAAAAAAACCCACTTAACTTAGTTTCTACCTATGTTTAAGATCAAAAGTGAAATACTACAATATGCTAGGATAAGCAACACAAATATTTTTACCAAAATTCTCTGAGGATCCATTGATACATATATTTGCCATTAAGGTGTCAATATCAGTCAGATTGCAATTTGTACAACAAGATAAAAATTGGTCAAGTTGTGCTCGAAATATGTGTTACATATGTGTGTGAAAGATACAAAAAGATACCATATAGATAATGTTAGAAAGGAATGTACAAAAAGGTTGGATGTCAAAACATAAAATAATCATAAATAAATAATTAGGTATGCAGTGTATACATGAGATGACAAGATAACATGGGTCAGTTTACCATGTCCAGTGTGCAAGATCTATGTGAGATAGGTCTTCTGTTTGTTTAGTAAGGTAAATAATTAATTTATGTCAAATCTGCAGATGAAGACTACTATAGAAACCAGAAGATAACTTGACAAATAATTAAAATATATATCTCTGTGTTTATTTAATTGTTTCACTGCATTAGTGACCAATGACTACAAGGTATTAAATCAAAAATGTTACAAATGTTTTGGCTGAGTTAATTTCGGTGTTTATAAAAAATCTCCATTTATCAGTGAAGATCTTTACTTGTGGAATGGTAAACAACATTACCAGCAGCCCTAGGGGAGATGGAAGTACTAAATAAATAGATAGATCTGTCAGTGCCAAACAACATCACTGTTACACTAACAACAACACTATATTAATGTTACCCCCCTTAGCAAATTACTTCATAACATTGTGACGGAACAGATAGATACTTTTATTCCTCCAATATTGAAGAGCAAAATATGTGCTTAAATACTTATATAATTTTACAGTTAATACAGTGCTCTAATTATTTTATTATCTAATTTATCATTTTAATACTACCCTAAAGCATCAGGAATAAGTAATGACAAAATAAATTAATGAAACCTGTATATCTACTTCAATATTGTTAGATATCGCAGTAGATTTCCATTACGGACAGATTTCTCGGTGTTTATTTACTTATATAACCATATAGGCTGAGATCTGAAATCTTTTCATGTTCTATTTTCATTCTCTTAAGAATATCTCAGCAGTTGCATAGTGACATGCAGTTCAAGTAAAATAAACCTATTATATGTCTCCGGTTCTCTGACATATTGTAATGTTGAGAGGAAAATTTCCCTTGACAGCAGTTACAGAAAACCCAACAAGCATCGTGGGAAGACGAGTACAGCTGTAACATGAATTAACGATTCCGTCATTGGAGAAATTTTTTTTTTATATAATCTATACATTCCATTTGTATGTAATATGTATATAAGGTTAAATCAAGATGAATGGTGTTGTAATTTTATATATGTATATCTGTATGTGACACATTCTGTAATAAATTATAGTCCATCCTTGTATCATAAAAACTGTCACCAGTCATGTCATGTACATCATATGTTTACATTATACATAGGAAGGTACATATATTACTGGTAAAACTATCTCTACACAAAGATAAAAGAGTGTTTTACCTGCAATTCTAAAATAACAGAATATTTTACTGGCAATACTAGAACTAAAATAACAGAATATTTTACTGGCAATACTAGAACTAAAAGAACAGAATATTTTACTGGCAATACTAGAACTAAAATAACAGAATATTTTACTGGCAATACTAGAACTAAAATAACAGAATAAGAATATTTTACTTGCAATACTAGAACTAAAATAACAGAATATTTTACTGGCAATACTAGAACTAAAATAACAGAATATTTTACTGGCAATACTAGAACTAAAATAACAGAATATTTTACTGGCAATACTAGAGTTCTAATATAACAGAATATTTTACTGGCAATACTAGTTCTAAGATAACAGAATATTTTACTGGCAATACTATAACTAAAATAACAGAATATTTTACTGGCAATACTAGTTCTAATATAACAGAATATTTTACTGGCAATACTAGTTCTAAAATAACAGAATATTTTACTGGCAATACTAGAACTAAAATAACAGAATATTTTACTGGCAATACTAGAACTAAAATAACAGAATATTTTACTGGCAATACTAGTTCTAAGATAACAGAATATTTTACTGGCAATGCTAGTTCTAAGATAACAGAATATTTTACTGGTAATGCTAGTTCTAAGATAACAGAATATTTTACTGGCAATGCTAGTTCTAAGATAACAGAATATTTTACTGGCAATGCTAGTTCTAAGTTAACAGAATATTTTACTGGCAATGCTAGTTCTAAGATAACAGAATATTTTACTGGCAATGCTAGTTCTGAGATAACAGAATATTTTACTGGCAATGCTATAAATAAGATATCAGAATATTTTACTGGCAATACTATAACTTTGATAACAGAATATTTTACTGGCAATGCTATAAATAATATAACAGAATATTTTACTGGCAATACTATAACTTTGATAATATAATATTTTACTGGCAATACTAGTTCTAAGATAACAGACTATGTTACTGGCAATACTATAACTTTGATAACAGAATATTTTACTGGCAATACTAGTTCTAAGATAACAGAATATTTTACTGGCAATACTATAACTTTGATAACAGAATATTTTACTGGCAATACTATAACTTTGATAATATAATATTTTACTGGCAATACTATAACTTTGATAATAGAATATTTTACTGGCAATACTAGTTCTAAGATAACAGACTATGTTACTGGCAATACTATAACTAAGATAACAGAATATTTTACTGGCAATACTATAACTTTGATAATAGAATATTTTACTGGCAATACTATAACTAAGAAAACAGAATATTTCACTGGCAATAGAACTAGGTAAGATAACATAACATTTTACTACTGTACAGAACATGAACAGAACATATCTCAACCAAAGCACAAAACTGATAGAAAATATTGTTATATAATACAAACAACAATATAATTGTGAATATATATATTTCTTTTAAAGTGGCAATGAATTATAATGACACTTAAGTCTCCTTTGAATAACAAGTAAAATATTCATCAACTTTAGACATACTTTAGTACATTCACAAACATAAAGCTAACACTATTTGTATGTGCTTCAATTCTGAGATTTCACAAAAAGCTCTTTTCTAAAAATTACATTATAACCTCAATTCTATAAAATAAGTCTTTATAATAATTAGAATAAATCTGTTATAAATACACTTTATAGATAACTGATATAATAAGAAGCTTACAATTTATACCTTTTAATTCTGTTTTTATCCCAGCTAGAAAAATCCAACAACTCTGTATAGATTTAGCACATCATTTGGGGGAAAAAAGTTTAATTGTCACTTTCTTCAATATTCCTTTTCAAACTATAAAAATCAGTATGTGTGTATAACCCAAGAAAAGATTTCCAAACACTATGTCAGAGCTCAATGGATTAAATCCTTCCCCCTAGCTGCTCTTGGATTAATCCTTTTCACAAACAAAATTCTATGCAGGAATCAGTTCCCCCACTAAAGACTTATATATCTTCTGTATATTACTTTACCTATAATACATATATAGTTAAACTAAATTAGTTTAAACTCCTTTCACTTTACTATGAACTTTTACTTATTTGCCACTGTTACAGCGAAAATTCCAATACATGGAGACACTCTCTGCTAAAAAACAAGGTGTGAAAACTGTCACAATGATTATATATTCCAATAGATGAAGAAGAAAACATGCAGTAAACACAAAATCTTCTAAATTTATCTAGGGTCTCTATGTTCTAACTAAGTATATAGATCTCTCAAATCTTAGCCTGTAAAGTTACTATCAAAATGCAAACAAGAGTGTAGTATCGCATGTGTAAACTACAATATGGCCCTATGCCAAATTTACCTGATTGGTCAATGCATGAGAGTGGGTGGAGTTAAGTGGTAAATATGTCACATGGTTGTAAGATTAGACCTCTTTTCACACTTATGTATTGAACAATTAGAAAATGTGGCAAAGATATGATTTGGTGTACTTTGTTAAATCTTTAAGCCAATTCACAGTTAGGCAATAAACTGCTTTGGTAGATAAAAAAATGCAATTTAAAAAGATGTCAAAAATCATCAGTTTTGAAGAAGGTTTACCACCATTATTTGTTACCCCAGGAAGACAGGTGAAACCCTGGGGCACATTTTGTTTTGACGGACATGCAGAGCTCACCAGACAATCCAGGGGGTCTGACAGCCTAATAAAAGACTGAAACCTATATTGTAAAGTATATCCTTCACATGGGTAATTTGAGATAAGAATATTAAAATCTAAACATAGATCCATTTTTTTTCTTCAATTTTATATTGCAATATGAAACTTTTATTAAATCTTTCAGTGTATAGGTAAATTCTGTATAAATCAATTATATCTGTCTGACATGATACAACAAAACTTTTATGAAAGTACATTTTACAGTGACTCAAAAAGTACAAATGAATATGATTAAACTTTAATAGTGTCATACCACCTTAAATGATCTCTTACGATAGTAAACTTAAAAATATACACTGGGAATATTAATTTTTTTCCAAACTAAATTGCAATAAGTGACTAATTTGGAGATTTGGTGCCCCCTTAATATTTAGAGAGATTAGAGGTACACATTATAAGCTATATCTTGTAAAATCACTATAAAATCTGACATCTTAATTCTGTAATCATCAAAAAAAAAAAAATAATCAAAGAAAATATATGATACATGCTTAATATTATATGTTACTTATAATTAAATCAATTGAAAGAAAATATAATTATATTATGCTTAAATTTATATGTTACTTATAACTGTTACTCCTTGTAGATGATCAAAATTGAGTTTTCTTTTAATAATGAAAAATGTTTTAAATCGTATTATCCAATTCAAGGTTACAAATGAAACAAGTTGTACATCTTTTATGCATCACTTTACATCTGCAGTTCACACCAATTATAATCATTCTAGTGGGGTTATTGTAAAAGAAGCATATGTCAAGTTATTATTGATAACAAATATTGTTTTTTTTTTTTCTTTAAATATTGCAGTCTTTCTCCCTTTCTCACAGAATGTTTTTTAGGTTTCAACATCGGTTACAGATAACATTTTAGCCTTTTCTTGCTCTCTATTGATTGTAAGAAATGATTCATACAAAATGCATCAATTTCTTTAACTCTGCTTTAATACAAGATGACGTATCATGAACATGTGCTACACCATTTCTTCCCACAACCATTTTCCCATCAATGCCTTAGGCAACAATTTATTGCCATAGGTCTTTTATTTATTCGATTTTTGAAATATCAAAGACGTAATAAAGAAGCGAAACATTTATAATTTATCCATAAGAAGAAATGTGGCAAAACAACTTGTTTAAACCTAAATTCAGATGATGTAATTGTAATTAGTTATAATAACAACTTTGACAAGAATTAGAATTTGTGTAACCATCCTGTAATTTATTGTATTTACATCAACATATATTTAAATGCCTCTAATATAGCCTGAACCCCGTTGGGCTTCAGAGACTGATTAACAATATTTTAAATTCTATAAACAAATTTATATGTAATTAATAAATAATTCATTTACATGAACAACTAAAGTTCAAAATGTAACTGATTAATGCAACTAGGGTAAATGAGCCACCTGGCTTTTAAAATAACATGTTTGAAATAATATTTTACTAATAGGTAAAAACTATGCAAATCTTATGTATATATACCAAGATGACATGAATATATAACCAGATATAAGAACTGGTATATAGTTATGTAGAAAAACAGCATCTTGCATGGCTTCTGTAAAATAACAATAATGTTACAGTGATTTTGTTCTCATTGCAACTCAATGTCAGTTGTTGGATTAGTTACAATTGTTGACAGAACTGTTTTCAAGGGAATCTGCTGTTGACAGCAGACTACACTGTTTTCAAGGGAATCTGCTGTCAACAGCAGACTACACTGTGTTCAAGGGAATCTGCTGTCATCAGCAGGCAGCACTGTTTTCAAGGGAATTTGCTGTTGACAGCAGACAGCACTGTTTTCAAAGGAATCTGCTGTCAACAGCAGGCAGCACTGTGTTCAAGGGAATCTGCTGTCAACAGCAGACTACACTGTGTTCAAGGGAATCTGCTGTCAATAGCAGACAGAACTATTTTCAAGGGAATCTGCTGTTGACCAGACAGAACTGTTTTCAAGTGAATCTGCTGTCAACAGCAGACAGAACTGTTTTCAAGGGAATCTGCTGTTGACAGTAGGCAACACTGTTTTCAAGGAAATCTGCTGTCAACAGCAGGCAGCACTGTGTTCAAGGGAATCGGCTGTTGACAGCAGACAGCACTGTTTTCAAAGAAATCTGCTGTTGACAGCAGACTAATGGTTTATATTAACATAGTCATTACATTACCTTACAGTTGTTTTTGTGTATTAACTTATGATATAATGTACAAAAAAGGAATACTTTGGGCTAAAAACCACACACGAATGGTTATTTGTTTCATATAAAAAATTATTACAAGCACTTTTCTTCTCTTTTTTTCTAGGTAACAATATCTTGGTGCTTGAAACACTAGATTGTGCATGTGCAAACATTAAGCCAATAATTGTCAATAGAACATACAAGCGTAATTCTTCATAAAACTTAACGCATGTCTTGTCCTTTTGTTTTACACGAGATTAAAGGCGTTGTTAACCATGACATTATACAAGATTTGATCGTACGACAAACGCATAATGACTCATTGTTTTGCAAAGATTTCTTTTAATACTTTTATAGCATGTACTGGTATATTTTTTGGCAATGTTGCATAAGTTACTGGCATTTTGCCGGCTTGGTATCAGAGTATCACAGACATTGGTATTAGTTAGTTTAAAGTTTTAGTTACCTTATTAGGTAATGAAGGTGACTGCAATTTGCAATCAATTAAACTCAAACCGTCTCACCTTAATGTTATAAATTTTATAGTTTCTTTTATTTCTTAATCATTAGAAAATTGTGTATACTCTTATCAGGAATAAAGCTCTTTTGATCTCTGAATTATAAAATCAAAAATAATCTGCAATCAGGGGGTAAAACTCTTTGATTGCATTTTCTTTGATAGCAAGATTACAAGAGTTATCTTTCTTGATAGAGATAAAATACTGTATTAGAAAATCCCATTGCAAAACTGAATATACATTGATATGACAAAAAAAAGAAATGAAAAATAAAATTGCATAAAAACCATTAAATATTAATTCTAATACCTGTAAAGAGAAAACCCAGCAAAGCACAGGAGACTAATAAAGATAACCATATTATTTACATTATTGCAAGCTATTCAATACCATTCTCTACATTATGACAAAAATTAATCATAAAAATCTTAGTAGAATCTAAGATCTTAGGTAAGAAGGACAGAATATTGGCAGAATTAAGCCGGCTTGAGTGTTTGCTTTCAAGTGACCTAGATTTTCCCCATAACAAGACTGTCAGTTTAAGTGTTTACTTTTCTATTTGCAAGATAATAGCCATATCCTATGATGATTTATATTTAAATCATTTTTCATTTGGCGACTCTTGCACACCCGACCTTGAATTCATGCGATAAAACCACAGCTTGACCTAGTTTTCTTTTGCATCTTTTTTTTAGCATAATTAATCTTTCGCCTTAACATAATGACAATTTTATGTGACGCATAATTTCCGTTCCGTTAAGATTTGTTGTGAATATTAATTTGTGCAAAAAAAAGAAAACAAACTTCAAACACTTGTATGACCTTCTGATTGGCCTGTAGTTACAATCTAGTCAAAATTGTCCGTGCAACTTATAAAAAGATTTAATTTCAAAGGGATCTGTCAGTTAATGCTATTCAAAAGCAACTTTGAAAAACGTCTGATTAAAATCTTAATGCGAAATTCAAATAAAGTGATTCTATTTGTACATTTTATGTTGTAGTGTTAAGGTATTATCTAATTGTAGCGGAAGTGTTTTCAATCTGGGGACAAAGTTAGCCAGTTAGGCAACAGTTGTCAGCTCTACCAATTACACAGTTAAATGAAGACTTAGTTCTTCAATTAGAAATGTATTTCAAAATTTTTGTTAGTAAAAATATTAATATAAACAAAAAATACACGCTAATAAAGAATAAAGCCCAGTAAAAATATGCAAATCATATGTTCTAAAGAGGAACAATTTATATTTTGTTCACTGTTGCTGTATGACGAATTGGATATTTCAAATTAATTATTATAAATATGCGATTTATCCGTGATCCTTCCATGTTCAAAATCTGTAACGATCTTTTAAAGACATGATACACTTCAGGAAAAAGACATGATTTGTATCTTGGTTAAAATTAGACAAATCAAGTCCGTAATTGTTAAAGATTACAGTGCGTATGCTAAGTGAGAGCATTATGCATACAGTTTGCCCTGTATCTGTGAGCATTATGACTCATGGCCATGTTTGACTTAAGTCCTTTATCATACAAACAGCCACTCTTTGAAGGCTTTTAAGTTCGATCAATCAATCTACGTCCCCTCTCTATCTTGTATGCATATACTATATTTGTTGACATGTAGCTACCCCCTGCATACGGCAAATTTCTCTGTTGCTCTAATCATTTTATCACTAAAGCGTCCTGCGATGAAATGGCAAAAACTAAACATACAATATTATCACTGATAGTATTTACGCTTTAGAAAAAGATTTTTATAAGACGGTATACAAAGTCATCTGGTGCATAATGTAATGTTTTTGCAATAGTTTGAACTTTTATTGCATTATAAATAAATGCTTGTATGCATGCATGCACGTTGTAGTTAAAAGAAATGTTATGGCTTATTGACA